ATATACCATATGCATATATATACATACACACATACACTTCACAGATACACAACACACACATATATATATATATATATATATATATATATATTTTAGACATGTGTATGTATACGTACCTAAGCACTTGTATACAATGTGCACTTCAAAGTAGAAATTCAATAAGGATGCACATGTGTATAAATCTATAGATACTTTGTCCAACAAGCCTTCTAGCAAACCGAAACAGGATACGGCAAACACACTGCCGTACGCTGACTATAATAGTGCACACAAGAATACATACTCTGAAGCGGGGGGAGGGACGCTCACAACTGGAGCTACCGGTTTAACCGCAGGAGGTGGTGGTGTTGCACTACCCACAGGTATTGTGGCCGCCTGGGGCTTAGGCGTTTGGCTGCATATGTTCGTCTGATAGTACGAGTCACCGCGATATTGCTACGGCTCTATTGTGAGGTGTATGGGACATGATAATATGAGACTAACGCCAAACACGGCTTGGAAACGAACAATGGTGCATGTTTTGTGATTCTGTCGTAGAGGTTTGTACGGTTTAAAAGGAAAATAGTGTATGTTTTGTGCTTGCATTCGTTGATCCTGATAGTTCGACTGCTATGTTTGCTGTCAATCCACGCGACTACAATCCAAACAACCCCAATGTTACAAACGATCTCAAGAAATGATCCCCAAACAACCCCAATGATACAAACGATCTCGAGAAATGATCCTCATGCATAGAGGCGCGGCATAGAAGCATACAAAACTATTTCGAGATATCCTCAACACCATCGGTATCCGCTGATATACGCTCGAAGCCGCTAAGCCAAATGCAACCCGACGAAATTGCGATATATACACGTTAGAAGGAATTAATGTACATACCTGCGCTAAGCGCGCACCGACTCGTGACAGGTTCATTATAAGGAATATGTAACCAACTACAACGAGCTCATGGGTATTCGCCCAAGCAACTTAACTACGTGGGATATGTCACACACTTGAGGTTTTTTGTGGTCAAGAGCCTTTATAATCCTTTGTATACTACCAGAGAAAACTGCTGATACATACACATAGGCCTTATTCTCTAAATAGCATTCAAGCTCTCTAGCAGCGAGAGTATTTATTATTATGTATGTACATATTCGGTCCATCATGCTTTCCGTTCACCAATGACTATTTGTAAAATGGTGCTTTTATTCACTCACTATTTCCTCACCCAAAAACAGTGGCGAAATAACGCAGGCAAAAGAAGGATGTGGGAAGCCGATTGCCGGATGAGCCGGTGAATGGGGTTTTTACTTTATTTGGGGTCAAAACAAAGTCAAAGTTTTCTTCCTCAAATGTTCCTGCAGCCATCGGCATCGCATAAATACATCTAATAAATAAATAAATACTGCCTTCAACCTGGTTTTTTTAAATGTTTTTAGAAGGGGTTCCTGACAATAATTTTTGGGTTGTTTTGGGAGGTATTGTTGTATAGAAAAATTCGTCGTGTAAAATGGCAAGCTTTTCCGTGCCATAATGTTCACGCGTAAATTAGTAGCTTTTGCAAATTCGCCATTCAAACGAGTGATGAATTTACTATCTTCTCTCCAGAATTATGCTTGATTTGATAGAGACCGATTCTCGCTCGATTGCTGAGTCCTCGAGATTCAAAATTGTAGCGATTTTGAAGATGTTGTATCATAGCAGAGGGATATCTTCTTTCAACAATGGGGATAATGAAGAATATAAGATGTATTGAGCTTGTCCAAAATGTATTTGTGACCATCGTCAAAACGGATCTTGTGGGTATCTGATGATATCAATGATGCTCTTCTGACTTTTAATAGGATTGTTACTTCACATGGCCAGTTGGCAAAGTTCTCTCGGCCTTCTAGTATAGTGTCAGGTTCACCTTTCTTTCCAGTTATATTGCTTAGGCCTTAGAATTAAGAGACCTGATAAGTTATTAATGTACTTGGAATGTCCCGATAAATGAGTCGTACATAGCTCCATTGGACACAAGGGTACATACATATGACTATGCCAGGAGGAATTAAAAAGTTAAACATCGGACCAATAAGAGTATGTAGCCAAAAAAAAATTGAGGCAAGTTTCCAGTGACCAGAGTCTACGGAGTTCCATAACGATCAACACCTTCTGAAGTTCTGACTTCTGACTTCTGAGACCTGAGTTCGGACTCCTGAGTGTGAGTGAGACTGTGAGACAGTGAGAGTATACAGTATACACTATGATACTAGATACAGTATCTGAGAGACTGCAAGAGAGGAGTCGGGAGTTGGGGTCACCGAGTCAAAGGAGTCAGAAGAGTCGAATGGACTCAGGACTGCATTCACGAGTAAAACTATGGACTTAAGACTCCAAGAGTGAGTGTTCTGATGTTCTCAGGGTCTCACAGTCACCAGACTCAAACTTCACAAACTTGAAGGCTCTAGAAGTCAAGATTCAAGATTCAAGTCTCTGTAAAGACTAAAGTGTAAAGTAGAGTTGAAACAACTCTCAAAGTCTCAAATAAAAATACACCCAAACTGAAAACAAAGTGCAGTGGAACTGTGGACAGCTTCCAGTGTCCTCTTACATCTATGTTCACTCTGGGCAATTATAAGTCGTTTGCGGAACCTTGAAAATTTGAAATGCAGGGCAACAACAAAGCGGAGTTCATAATACGGATACAATAATGAATAATTTAAAACAGGTTAGTATCGATGCCATTTAAACGTATTTAAGTATGTGTTTATATCTCGACGATTCGGAAACAGCAATAAACAGTGAACTATACATTTGAAGCACAAAGGGCAAAGTTTAAAGTAGATATTCACCTAGCCTTCGCTGAAGAACTTAAAGGGTGGCAACGCCATGCCTATTGTATATATATATAATATATAATATAATATAATATATATATATATATATATATATCTATTCCTGTTCCTAGTTTTACTACCATAATACTGGTATCAAATGGTGCTTTAATATTCACTTCCAGATGGGTGATCGAGCGTCGCAAAATATGTATTTAAAAAGGTAAGCCGACACTACAGAATGACAGAGGCAGTCGGATAGAAACGCTTAGATGAAGCTCGTCAAGACTTACGCATATATTTCTGGTAGAATGAATAGCAGTACGCCTGTTATATATTTACAATTCCACCTCATGAAAGATATCACCCAGAACATCGCAAACCTTGGTAATTTTGACACTTAGATTTATAACTTAACGCTTGGATAACGCAAGCGAAACTATCATTTCTGGGGCAGTTCGAACACCGTGGTTCCCAACGGCGGTACCAGTAGCTCATAAGCTCGTCCATCTGTTGTCTTCCTACACCATTGAACAGAATCCTGCGCTTGCTGATTAGTTGGTGTGCTAGGCGTGCCATCTACCTGCGTGCTGATTCGTTCAATCACACGCTCCTGCATTAAACTATGCGGTTGTAACCTCAGCAAAGTCTCGTCGGCATCATGCCCTCGCAGCCGCACTCTATGCTGTGTGGCAGTCGCGTTCAGACATACTATAACTAATTCTCGTTCAGGGTCTAAGTCCTCCAGAGGCACTTGTGTGTCCAGCTTAAGTTGATTTGCACGCAGATATAGGTGTAAGGGTGATAAGGGTGCGTTTGTCTCTGCCGCCCTCCAATCGAATGCTTCAGTTACCGTCTTATCGGAGATGCTCATTACCACCACTCCGGGTATCTGACGAGCCCCGGTATTATGGAACCTAACGCGTTCAAGCACTTCGTCACGCGTGTTCAGTCGAAATAGTCGCGAGCTCTGCCGGATTTGCAACATCATACCTACATGCCCCACCATTTCTGTTATATCAGACTTGTTTGGTATAAACGACGCATTCTGTAATAACGGTACCATGATCGACTCGTCACCACCCGGCTCTACGGGTAACCCAATACCGAAGTTATTGTGACTGTGGTCAAAGTATAGCCTGTCATGGGAGGTAGAAGGTAGGAAAGAGAATAAGAACAATAAAAAAAAGCCGAGGTCGGTGCACATATAATACATACACACACGCTCACAGACACACTATGTAATATATACATATATACATATATACATATTGTTATATAATGTTATATATATATATATATATATATTATAAAATAATGATATAAAGATATAACAATATAACAATATAATTATAGAATGTATTGTATAGTGACCTTGTATATACTATATGACAAGCAAACGAATTGAATATACCTATTAAACCAGTCACCGCTGTTGTACGAATCTCTCTCCAGCGACTTTGAGCGTAACATCTCACAGCCTGCGTGCAAGAAGGGCACCCCTTGACACATCAACGGTATATCCACCGCCAACTGTTGAGTTGCAACACGTTCACGCATGGGGCAGTCCTTCCGTAACTTGTACACGTTGTTGTCATACAGAGTCTGGTTGTCATGGGCACTCACATATGCGATGTGCTCGCGGGGGCTCTGGTTGTAACCTGCGGGAGACCCTTTGTAGTCGATGTCTTGTCCGCGCTTTACAGTCCCATCGGCAGCTTCTAATGTATAGTCTGCTAAATTGGCAGCCAGCGCTACCCGGATGATGTCTGAGTTCTGGAGAAGGGCCGCCTTTTCCTCGGGTGATCTACATTACCAGGACAAGTGCCAGAGATAAATAAGTTATTCTTGAGATATGGTTCAATACGACCCGACGCTGCTCACGAGAAAAATTAAACGTATATTGGTTTCTGAGCTGCGAGAGTTTGATAGTCTACGAATCATGCGATGTTCTCCAAACGAATCACTTCGTACGGGAGTGTACGTAACTCCACTATATCCCGCGGTATAGAACTTCTAGACAGAGCTCTTTCTACGTAATAATATATACATCGGTAGCGCCTGGGCAGACTCTACATTGCTCGCGACCAGCCGCATGCAAGGTGCTTTTGAAGCCCAGGCTCCACTTGAAACCGCTTCCGCACAGGTGTATGTACAATCACAGACAAATCTCGCAGGTCAGAGCTATTTGCGTATTGAAGAAGATTCATGGTTGCACTCTGGTCGATTTTGGTCTCACACTCTCTTGGATTATGAGACCATAAATCGACGATTGTGGGAGCATAGTTCGATTCTTAGTGAGCACAGCACTTCACGCTACAAATCATATGGCAGCGCATGCACTGTTGTGTTGAAAGTGCTTTGATGATTTGAGGCTGCTCATGTATCCCAAAAAAGGCCATCACATTGTATAAAAATAGGACACACCTGCCTACCCAGATCTTTGGACAATAGATAAATAAACGTTCACAGGTAAGCCTTGTTAACTAACATGCCACCGTTAATACTTGAATGCATCTACACCTCACTCAGCCTCATGGACACAGCCACTCAACGTAAACGGGACAAAGCCACAATCCACCCACTTCGCGAACGCAGCCAGCTATATACCTCAGTACACCCGCCAAATCTAACCCCCCCTCCCCCCCCCACACAAACTCGCTACTTACCATCGCCTTGTAAATGAAACAGTACTCACCCGTGGTTGTTCTCATTCGGCCGCACATACAACCCGTTGCAGAAGCCCTGGTTGGTAACAAGCGACTGTCCACTGTCAAACGCCCCTCCGCCTCGCACGGCATCCCGTACGCGGTCATTGAACGTGCCTATGCCTGTGCCAGCCATGTTGTGCTGAGTAGCGTTGACCCCACGGGCATTGTGAGCCACCTCTCCAAAGTCCCAACCTGTCCAAGCAAGTAAGTGTGCAAGCAGGTAGCGACAATAAAAGTCAGGTAATGGATAGTAACAATAGAGAGCTACACTGATGGGCTGGAACGCTATGTGTGCAAATATGTTTGACTTTTATCGCTGCTGTATGCCTCTATTTATATATATATATATATATATATGTTTGCTATATGTATATGTGAGTATAGTATATATAAATATATATATATCGTCACTGTGTGCTTATTAAATGTACCAATGCTCTCCAAACCAGACTTCCCAATAACAAGCAGGGATACCCATGCAGAGAACCACCACAGGACACGCTCTTACCTTCACCATACATGCAGATGGTGGGGTCTATACCATCCAGCATCGTCCGGATCTTGAGCATGGTATCCTTCATATGATGTCCCATCAGGTCGAATCTGAAGCCATCTACCTAGCAGATGAGAACCAGTAATAAGCACATTTCAGGTACAAATCATGCCCGCAAAACCTATGTGTTCAACGTGCCTGTGAGAGAGCTTCCCCGCAAGTTCGATGGAAATAACTACAGTAGTACAAGCGGGGTGCCAAACCATATGGATAGCACAGAAGGTTCTTATAGTCATAATGCAAAAAGTTCATGGTGTGACTATTGATACAGATAGCATGGAACGCATATACATAGCGGCATAATTTTAATTACCTTGTAGTGTGTGGCCCAGACCCTGAGTGAGTCGAGCATGAGCTTCTCCATCATGGCGTGTTCCGAGGCTGTGTTGTTCATGCACGTGCTTTCCTCCACATCTCCGTCCATATCCAAACGGTAGTAATACCCAGGGACTATCTTATCGAACACTGAGTACTCAGCCTGCTTGATGAATCCCGAGGCAAAGGTGTGATTGTACACTACATCCATGACCACGCGTAAACCTGTAGTCGTGACAGCGAACTATAAGTCTAAGGCGCTGCATTGTGCTGGTAGAAACTGGCATTGCATTGTGCTAGTAGAAACAAGTTAGCATCAGACGCCTACGCATTTCAGTACGAGCTTGTTGCTTCAATGAGCCTTTATTGTATATCTCAGGCAATTCAGTTCCAATTCATTTCATCTCAGATGATAGAATACAAACTACGCCGATATGTGAGCGAACGGCACTGATATTTGTGAATATTGTATGTACTTGCAACATGTTTTACAAACATCGAGATAACGAGCCAAATAATCACCACTGTTGCGTCGTTAGAGCGTCCGGATCCGATTGAGACTTGAACAATACCAAGATGCAAATATTCCCACGAGAATCCTAGAAATCAACTATATAAACATACGTATGTAACTATATACTTAAATATATATACATATATATATATATGTATATATAACACATATACTCTAACACACACACACATATATATATATTTATATACATATATACATGTTTGAGATGTTCGAAGAAGGCGCGTCAAATACCGGTCGAGTACACTCATCAAAGGCATACCCATTCGATTAAGGCTTTGTACCATGTGCCTGAACTCAAGCGTGCGCATGGGGCCGTTGGGACTGACGGCGTAGCTCCCCTCGGGCACTGCATAGTGCCATGGATCGTAACCCCTGTGTTGGCAGAAACAGTGTTAAACGAGTGGAATGGAAGTTTTACCTCAATGAGATACATAGACTAGCACTCAAATATATATCGAAGCCGTATGCCGGATGAAGCGTAGGCAGGTAAAGTTTGGAGAGCATTTTCAGTCGAACACACGTTGAGAAATGAGGTTTGGCCGATATGCTTGCAAATGTGGTGCAATTCTTATTACAGCCAAGAGTGTGGCATGCAGTCCTAAACACGGTCCTAAAATCACCAATAAGTGAACATACAAGACAAGGAACTACTTTGTATAGCATTGTAAAGGATAGTAAAGATCTCTCATACTACGCAACACTGCACTGATTGACTTATAAATATTAAGGGCTGAGGGTTTCTATATTAGCGCTTGATAGGGTTTCTGTATTGGCGCTTGTAACGGTTTCTGGTACTTCAGGCACCACAAGAACAGAGAATGCTCACACCCGATAAGGCTTACAAGTGATGGTAACACCATCCCACGTATATGTGACAATAGCATGGGCCATCGAAGTAGGCGAACAAACTCAAACCTCGACACTTACCAATTGAAGGAATCCACATCTTGCACTACAGTCGGTCAGGGTTGATGGTGCAGTGCAACGAGCAAGGAATATATGCGCAACAAATGGGATAAGTAAATATGAAATAGGAGGACGGTATTCAAGCAGGAAGGTGTCTATCACAAGAAGCAGGTACCTACACTGAGATTGAGCCTGGGTCTGATGTGTATGCAGAGTTCCAGACCACATCTCGACGACTTCATCCCACCTTGCCCCACACAAAAGAGTACAGCTGCATATTCGCACATGCTATGAGATGGTACACTAGTACTGTTTATGAGAGACGAGTCGCACGTGTAGTGTGTTTCTTCTTCTCATCCACACCATTTGATCTGTCTACGAACCGACTAACATGCACACTATGTATAGCCAGCCATTCCTTGAGCAATATCATGACTCTCTGATTCCCCCAAAATAGTCGCACACACCTTTACGTACTGCCTCCGCCTGTAGATGTGATGCCGTGCCTGCATCAGTGGGTATAGACGGCTCAATGCGAGCGCTGGGGTCTTCAGGCACACTCGCTATGTCAAACACTGGCAACAGGTGCACGTGGGTGAGTCCGGCCTGGGAAAGGGCCTTTAAGTGGGCAACCCCGTTACTGCTGGCCTGTGTAAGGGATATGAATGTACTTGTGTGTGAGACATGCATTGGCTATGGATAATGGCCGCGTATGGATAAAATATTAGTACGGTGTGCGTTTGTACGCTATGTTGAGTTCTGGCAGCAGATGCATACGCGTATGACTTGCCGGAAGGAAAGTCAGCACACTTCGTGACTGCGCTACTCGTGTTTATAAAATCGATAGGAAACCTGAGCGTTTATGTGATGTACATAAATGCGTATTGAGTTTATTTTTTCAGACACGTTATGCTATGTCAAATACGAGAGGGAAAACGTGACGTGTGTGCATCCACTTAGCCTAGGGCGAAGAAACATTGAATAATGATGTTTGTCCGTGTAACACATAATCACATGCATATTTATACACGAGTGGATACCACAAGTACGTATACATATCATCATACGTAGACACATATGTGGATATCATAAATACGATAACGTGTAAACGATGCTACATAACGCAAGTGTGTAGGTGCATACGTTTGCGAGAACCGCTCGGGGATAAGGAAGACCAGATACGCAGCAATGTTACTGGTCGTGGTCTTCAGGTGGACAATACACGACCTGACAAATGTTGCTAATGCTAATATGTGTTGAGTGTAAAATCGGATATTCACACATACATAGGTGGGGTATATATCCATGTATGTCTTTACATCACGTCAAGACAGTATTGCACTTATATATTCATGTAAGTACTAAACCTAAGACAGTATTGTACTTATTTATTTATGTACATAATTAACACGTTAAGACAGCAGTACGCATATATATTCATAAAAGTACTAAATATGGTAAGACAGTATTGTAATCTTCAAGTTGTTTGGCGCCTAGTCATTGCAACGAACGGTTCGCTATGGCTTATGTCTTGGGTTAGCGCATAACTGCATGAGATAGAAGTCGAGTTATTCAGCTGTGCACGAGCGAATATTCTGGTAGGCCAACTATCGATTGCAGAAACTTACTACTTCTTGTAGTAGTATATATAATATATATAGTATATATATATATATATATATATATATATATATATATGTGTGTGTGTGTGTATATGTGTGTTTGTGAATACATGTATACGTGTACTAGCAATAAGCTCCTCGCCGTTGCTAATTTCCTGCGCTCAGCTATCGCAAAGCAACACATACACACTCCGACCACAATCCTGCAAATAAATCGTACAGCCATACCATACAATATCATATCATACCTCAGTGAATGCGGTGTACTTGCCCCGTTTGTCTTCACTCACAGTTTGATCGTTAATACTGAAGTCACGCACGTGTAACTCGTATAACACCATATCGACGAAGTGCTCGAGTGGCGGCTTCTCATGCACCAATTCATCCCAGCCGTCGGGTTTGAGAACCGGGTTTACCAGATCGACCGCCACGGACCACGTGCTATCGGTTGTGAGTGCTCGAGAGTAGGGGTCGGTTACATCGCAGCACCGTATGCTGCCACTTAGTCTGTCATATACTTCTACGCGATACTTGTACTTTGTCCCCGCTTGAAGGTGGGTTTTACCGTGTTCTGTGATAGGTGAATAGCGTAGAGGTTAGTTTCACAGGGATTGTTCTCTGACAATACTACAGCCACCAACGGGTTTCTGCGAGCAAGACTCATCTGCTTGACATGTGGGATATGAGATAAGCGCAGATTATTTTAGGGACAGCAATATGATTCCATCCAACTTTGTCCTGGATTCCAATATCCAGAAAACTTAGGAAAGCATAGATACATAGACCTATCTTTTCGATTAGCTGTATGTACACTTTCAATCTACAAGCGTCATGCACCAAAATATCAATCAATCCAATGTCGATGCAACACTCCCTACACCAACAACCACCCCACAATCAACAGAAACAGTCTTGACACTACCGTACCTGCTTCAGCCGCATCGAGCTCCCACACACCAGCATTCCCTGGCGATCGATACAACTGCGAGACCACTGCGTGTTCATGTTCTACAGAACTATCTGTGTAGTGCACGTACTCCTCATTTTGTGCGACGCGCCCATGCACGTCTGTGAGAGCGACCACTGACACACTCTTGGCTGTTGGGGCCCATACGCTGAGCTGCACTGAGCCGTCTTCGCGTACTACTGCCCCGAGGGTTCCGTGGTAGGCGTAAAGGTCATCCAGAACACCCGGTATCTGCACGCCGGTGCTTTTAATCACGGTATTTCCCTTTGCGGCCACTAGAATGATCTGAGACTGTGGGGTTGTTCTGAAGTTATTAGTTGAACGTTTCTGTGAGCTTCACAGGTGCGTTGTCTGCGATGAATACGCACTGCATGCATGCTTTCCATCCACCCAGACACCGCTATAGGCCTATGCACGCCATTTTGGATTGGCTTTGACAGCCCTTTCGATCTGAACTATCCACAATTCTACAAAGGTCTCTCTTGAACGTGAGTTCTTCTCTTGGCTGTGTGGCGAGAGATGCTGTAGTGCTTACTTCTATGTACCTAAAACACACAGCAGCTCGATACATCAATATCACCTCCTGTCGTTCCCACGGGGATCTGCAACGCGGCTTAATCATCTGCAAAGTCTATCTGATCCAGATGATCTATTTTAGAGTTTTGACGTGTCTCTAATACGGCTACGACATACCAACTGCAAGATGTAGACTGGAAGCGAAAAACTTGCGGTATCTATATTTTAGTTGCACAACGCACATCTGTATCTAATACAGTATACTCAGACCAACTAAGAAATGCGGATCCAGATGGAAGATCGTGAAGACCTCTTATATCACTTGTACAGCTTGCGGCCCGGAGAATGAGATTGTATTACTTTGAGTTACATAAATATGAATACCTACAGTTTATACGTTGTGGCAACAGGGAGCAAATTTTGAACACACATTTCTATAGCCAGCAATTGAGGAGGGGGGGGGCTTTCCTTTTTACACAACAAAGTGTGCACAACTTACAGAACTTACAGAACTAATCGTCCAAGATAGTTAGAAGGACAAATCAAGCCACAACGAATGCAGTTCCGGTATATCTGGTGTTCGCGTACTGCTACTACAGACAAAGGCCAGTTACACACATTTATACCTGTATTTTAAGGACAGTTACGTACATATATACCTGTAGGATCTCCAGAACCGCGGCGGAGTGCTCCTCCCGCAAACGATACACAGCATACTCCCGCAAGTGCGGAGACTTCTCGCGCAAAGAACCGCTCAGTCCCTCCCCCACGCGTTCCAGTTCTATGGTTGTGCCGTCACGTAGTGCACTCTCCTCACTCAACCCACCCTCTGATTTGTAGACCAAGAATACTTGTTCGCCGCCTTCTGCACTGTAATCCCATGCGAAGGTGTCTCGGTCTAGCCAGTGTGCGCGTGCCTTATTCATACTTGCGGATTCGCAACTTATCTAATCTGGGCGATATAGCGGAAACAAATAAGATACGGCACGAAAAGGATATCCTCTTGAAATGTTACTACATACAAGCCTCCACACACCCGAGGGAGTGCGAAGCTTAGTGAGAGCATGTCCTCTCCTTATTACTCGCTGTGTAGGTTTCTCTGGTTTAGTAGCAGAAGGCAGAGCATGTATTGGAAGCTCACTTACCCATAATGAAGGTACGAGATTTAATTGACCAATCACTACTACTGTCCAGAATTCTGTGTGGCGTTCAAAAATCGCTAGTATATCCAAATGCTAGTAACCATATCAACTTAAGCCAAACAACCACACCTGACAGCCGCTTTGTGAATGTCCTTGATGCACATACATGCACTCAACAGCCACGTGACTCGTTAACGCACATTCACACTCGGTTCATCGCGTTCTTGCCCTTATTGGCATGTTCCCTAAACAAGCTTATGCCAGTATTGCAATCGCCCTAAATGACAGTTTTACCCTAAATACCACAATCTCCTCATTCTTAAAGGTAGAGATAAAGATATGAGGCGGCGACCAGCAGAGGAGAGTACTCGTGTCGTACGATATGTTACTGTAAAACCGGATACTCTATGTTGATAAGACATGGAAGTGCACTCGTGTATCATCCTGAGGTATCAAGCGCAATGCGAAGATTGCGTGCTAGTAGGCGGAACATATCTGTAGCAAGACTACGTACAAATTCAGCAGTGCAACAGTTTGCACTTGAATCGTAGGGCTTTGCTGCTCGCAGTCAATACGCTACTTAGATACCCCATTGTTCTAAGTTAACGAGTATTTTAGATGCTTCGTATGTAAAGTTCGGTCGTTGTTGTAGTTTCAATAGCGAGTTTCTCAGATATACGCAAACGTCTGAATTTCTTTTTAAGAATGTATATGCCCATTCAAAAGTACCCGACTGTCTGTATCAGAGTTCGAAATCAATCACCGAAATTATAGCCATAGTGTTATCAGTTGGCTATGCACAATCGAAAATAAAATTGAAGAGGAGTACAAACACCGATAGAAACAAATTCACGTTTAGGATTGTATGCTACTGTACAATCAACACTGTTCATTACATTGATTATCCTACTATGTAACAGAAATGAGCACACACAAAAGGAAATATAAAGCATATGTGCTTACCTGTATAATGCTTTAAACTAGCCGCACCAACAACTTGAGCTCGAGACGGACCTGTCATCAAGCAAGATGCCCAAATTCACTTGTACTGCACTTACTGAAGGAACTTGTGATATATCTGGTTACTATAATACTATTATGTTATGGGAATGTAGTCTACTATCGTGTGTGCCTGGCAGTATTGTTCACTCATACAAATACTATATGTGCATATTTACATAAAGAGAAAACGTCTTGATCCTGCAATTCTACCCAAACGCTACTTGTTCATAACAGGGTTTTAGGGTTCTAGGGTATGACTAGTGAACACCACTGAAAAGAGTCCTATTGGCATTCAAAGCGTGTTTGCCGTGGCAACCTTCCTCACAATGCTCACACCAGCGCACATACTACTACGAATACAACTGTAAATGCATATAAGCCATTATGGCTAATTGCCTCAGAAGAGATCTTAGACAGGTCTTATCGGCGGGCAAGGTTCTACTTGTTGATGGCGGGATAGGGTCGAGTTTGCGTGCGTTAGACACGCCTAAAGACGCGCATTCATACCTTGATCGCTTGAACCTAACGCACCCCAGTGCAGTTGCTGAAGTGCATAGAGCCTTTATATCAGCAGGTGTTGACATAATCACTACAAACACATTCCAGGCAAATGAATTACGCTGTCCCGACGGATATACTGTAGAAGAGCTGAATAAAGCGGCTGTGTGCATTGCAAAGCAGGCTATACGTGACCATGTGAAGAATGACGATAAAAATATATACATACTTGGATCCGTGGGGCCGCTTTGTACCGGGAATGTAGATGATGCTAAGAAGCACTATACCACTCAAATTGAGACCCTCCTAGATGCGGGCGTTGATGGATTGCTGATTGAGACTATCACGCATACATCAGAGGCGCGAGTTGCTCTAGAGATAGCTCGAGAGTTGCAGGTAGATATACCTGTTATAGCTTCTATATGTCTCGTAAAGGATGGCATATTACCTGGTGGCGAGTCCTGTATGGAAGGTATTGAAGTGCTAAATACGCTCGCTATAGACGCTATTGGTATCAACTGCGTAGACGATATGGACTTGTTAGTGCAAGCAATTACTAGGATGAAAAGTACCATGCCGTCTCTGCCTGTGTATACATGCCCCAATGCAGGCTTCCCAGATGAACATGGCAAGTATAGTTTGACATGTACAACCTATAGAGATATAGTACATACACTGCATAAGCTCGGTGTAAGAATCATTGGTGGTTGCTGCGGTGTGGCCGCGAGGCATTTGGAATCGATAGACCGAGATGCCTGTTAACATAGTGAATCTATATTGACAGCGCACTACAGTGTGACTCGGGCCTTGAGTTTAGATCGGGGTCCGCTTATGACTAAGATTGACACCCCTTCAAGCTTGTCTACGTGTTTTCTATGAACTGTAAATTGCTTCTGGAGACTTGTTTAATATGCGAGCCAAGAATCGTGGAAGCTTGCGGTTATAAACGATTAAAATATGGAAATGATGATAGTCGCCCTGAGCGATCGGATGTACACACATATCGAATGGAGGGGATAAGAAGTCTCCGGAAAACTGCAAAACATTGACATTAAGCGGCCTGTCTCAACAACTTTGGCAGCGGAATTTAGGACTCCATAGGGCTGCGAAATTTGCTGTTTGCGTCAAGTATACTGGTGTATCACATGTGACTGTTGCAGAACATGGCCACTAGGTGTTCTTGTGGATGCGGATGGTATTTCTCTGTCTTGATTTAAGGAAGGTATAGTGTGAGGGCCTTGCATATAAAACGCAAACTGCACAAGCATGCAAACTCGCGGGAGGCTATCATAACGTCATTGTAATATTGACGAATGTGGACTTAAGTATCAAATTTGTTGACAACTAATCCCGACACATTCGCGGTCAGCGATTATAAGGTGAGTTTAGCGCCAAAAGTTAAATGAAAGAATAGAATGCAAACAGGGATGAATCATGTGAGTTATGTACACAGTTGTTACGTAGAAGAATTACCTTCTGAATTGCCAACAGGCATAATCTTTGTAAACTATGTACATAGCTATGCCTAGAAGGACAACCTTTTGCGTAGTATGTACATAGGTATTATCCGATATAAAGAGCTGGGAATTGAATAAATAGCAGAATTATGTTTTATTACAGCATCGATCAGTCGATACAAACAATGAACTCGTTTTGAGTCATGCTCGCTAAGCTTATAAACTGGTGTTGGCGGCTGTTATCATTCGTACCAGACATACAACTTACTCAAACCTTAATAGAACAACGTATCCGGTGTGGCATGTCGCTGATATGCTCGGAACTCTGGCTCCTTCCCCAGTACGGCCCATAGATAGTTACCCACCTCACACGCCTTAAGGTCGACACTACTGTCGACCTTGTTGAACTCTCTAGCGATTAATTCAGTAGCTTCCAGTGATTTCGCACGCAGAGCAATCTCTTCTTTTGAACCCTTGGGCAATGCAACATGCGTATCTATGGCATTGTGAAGACGTTCGCGACATGTGATACACCCAGTCTTGCGCATAGTGGCGACGATGACATTGTCTACATATGCGGTGAGCAAGTGTGCGTCTTTGAAGTTGAAACGCTCGTCTTGATTCCTAAACGAATGGTATAACTCTCCAGTGGATAACTGTGCTTTCTTATACAGAAACACGGCTTGCTTGCTGGTGCTGGGGCCGCTTTCGCTGGGATAATAGTAGGCGTCCTTGAACGTGTACGGAAAACTGTCGACAAGTGCCTTTACTACCGAAGCGGCGCCATTATCGCTGCTTCCTTTCTTTAAAGCATCCAATACGAGCTCGTATACGTGCTTGTAGCCTTGATCTCTCAATCCGATTCCTATCTCGTGCGAAACTCCCACTAAATAGCTGATGAATACTTTCAAGGCCTCTGTAACACTATCCTCTTTGCAATCGTTCAAATCTGGTAAGAAGCATTCAGTAACGGTATCTTGGGTGATTTCGGCCAGAAAACTAGAATCAAGATCATGGTTCAAGTTATACATGTTGATTAAACCAGCCTTGATGGTTAAAAACGCTCCTTTCCTGTGAAATTTGTGCAATTCCTGACGGAACCCGCTCCCAAAGTCCATTGCATGTGCAAACGTGATGAAAGAAACTTCCTGCAACAGGCTTTCGAATTCGATGCCGAAGCCGGTTATGTGTGCTGCAAGACTTTCACCTAGTTTTCGAATCATCCCAGCGTTCCTATCTTGCACAAACGCCTTAATCGCATCCTGATTCACCTGTACGAGGCCATCTGTGTCTAGCTGTGTGCATGTGTCGCGTACGGCCTGCAAGTATGACCTACCATCGTCAACTGTGGGAAAACTCATACCGAGAAAACTGAGTCTGACTAACTATACAATATTTAAATACCTATATCGAGGCTTGGTGGATCCTCTGTACTTATCGAACTTTGTAACATATGTGTATGTAAATAAATAAAAGCAGGACTTGGACAGCCAAGGGGCATCACAGTAAGGGATTCGTGGTTGGACAGCGGCATCGCGTACACTGCACACTGTATATTTCATATCCCGCTCCAATTTTACCCGAATTGAAAATGTTCCCGATTTCGAATAAAATAAAAACGCCGTGGAAGGCATAAAATACCCAGAGCCAAGAGTGACCTAAAAAAAAAGAGCCGTTGATTCTAATTGAAATTTGTGGTTCTTCAGAAATCGGTTCAGACTAAATGCTATATAGGCATTGATTGAGTGGCTAATGTGTCTTGTATAAAACGTTCATGAATACTTGAACTGTTAGTACCGACCCTTGGCGTGTATGACGTTACTTTCGTGTGGGTTACATATAACACGTAGCCAACTCAGCGCAGCGTGGAACTAAACTAATCTTACTACGATACATACTATATAGATGCCAAGCCCGTGATTCGGAACGGTTGACAGCAACACGAGGGTGTCTAAATAGGACATGGGTGTCGGGCAAGTACAGGAAAGTACATTTGCAAAACCGTATCTGCTGCGCTCTAATTCGTTAGGGGAGAGTCTAGTAAGTAACAAGAGTGAAAGGCTAAGGTCCGTATGTAGGGCATACTTCACAACCACAGTGAGGATTGTGTGCTTTTCCGTATGGCCTTTCGTTCTAGAAAGCGATTCATAAAAGATATATCAACTATATAATATCATGCTATTCTCGGTATCGCTTGGTATGTAGTGTGTGCTACTACTCGTCCAGCAGACGCCTCACAGGTGTGTACTACCCAGACAATTGCCCTCTTTGATTATACGCTGGTATCGGCCAGTGTAGAATGTCAGCATATCTGCACATCTTGAAAGTCAGTCAACACGTGTAGCAATATCTTGATAAAGGGACGTACGGATATATGTGCTCATAGTTCTTGGCCGTGAGATGTGTATTCAAGGAGCGGAAAAAGACCGTGCCAATTCTTTAATTATAGGACATACTCGAATTTTTGACACACTTCTAGATACTTCATTCTCTGGTTGCACGGATTGATCAAGGTTTGATGGAAATGTAAAACTTTTGAACCATATAGTGAATTATTTAATGAAATATACAAATCCAGTTTATATAAATATATACATATATATATATATATTAT